TAAATTTGGTTACACATATGTTTTTAATATATAAAGAAAATATTCCAAGCCTTGTATCTCATTTTTCTACTATGCAAACAGAGTCCGATTTTTTCACCAACTGTAAATCCTTTATTAGAGATCATTGTTGAGTAAAAAGACAAAAAAAAAAAAAAAGCTGGAAGCTTGATTTTCCTAGTACAGACCCCAAATAATAAAAAAATTATTTTATGCCTCCACCTGATAAAATTTGGTCTCATTTTACAAAGTGCTTGTTGTTGCAAATTGTTGTGAACAACACCTTAAAAAATGTACCAAACTTTCCACAAAAATGTTGTAATTGATATATATGAAGATGAATTATTAAGTTATTGAACTAGCAAAATATAAATGTTAATGAATGGTCAATAGTAATGAATTATCAATTATTTTTTAAAAAATAATAGATAATTCACTTACCTCGTTAAGGGATTCTCAGAGATATTTTCAGGATTATGTAATTTTTTTCATAAAAAATCCTATATTTACCACCATACATTCTATTATTAATTATATGCAATGTTTTTCGTAAAAATCTTCTACGAAAAGTATCCCCTCGATAAAGAAAAGTTGGTTAGTACAATAAATATTTACAATTTGTATACCTGAAATATAAATAAAATATAAATATTCCAATTGCAAATTTTTGTTGTGTGTAGTACAAGTAGTCGGATTAAAAATTTTTAACAACGAACCCTCTGTCCATTACAATCCTATAAACTTAGGTTTCTTCCGCAAAGGTTGCAGCGACTATTTTTATTAAAACAACTTTTAAAGAAAACGTCATTTTGAAATATTTTAAATTGTGCGATGACAAAAACGATAATCAATCGATTAACCAATCATATACTTTTTTTTTTAGTGTAATTGTCTGCGACATACCTAATTATTTCATCGCGACCTTTTTTTATGAATTTAATTTTTTACGTGACTTAATTAATTACTTTTAATAATACACGAGTATCTAACCATACGAGTGAAAAAAGAAAGAATTAAAACAATGAAAGGAAGACATTTTAAAACGTTCTAACAATGCTTTGAAATTACAAAATTTTTTTATAGATTACGAATTTCAATGATTTCTAAAAAGATATCGTCATTTGTTTATATTATTATTTAATATAAAAAAAGTAACAAACAGGTTACTTTGTGACATGGTATAAAATATACTTTGCGGTAAATGTCATTTATTTATTTGGGTTGACACGTTAAATATATAAATTTAATAAAACTAAAAATTTGAGATCGTCAAAATTAACAAAGGATTTAGGAAAAGAAAGGAGAGTGAACAAAGGATTAGCATAAGAATTGTTCTTTTTTTTTAGCGTTAGTAAAAAAAATTTTT